TGAATTTATGTACTTAAATTGAGTGGATATTATTTAAAAAAAAATTTTTTTAATAATCTTTTTGACTAATGTTTTACAACAAAATGATATTCATAAACGAAAACACACTTGCCTTTGTATTTTTAGATACAGAAATTTACGCATTTAAATGGATTTTCTTGACTTGAATTATGATTTCAAATTTTACCTTCAATCATGCGATCATGCGATTTAAAAATATTTCATCAATAAGAACTGATTTTTATAGCTATTTAAAATTGCGACAAAAGTTTGTTGTTATATTTAATAACAACAAAATGACTTGACTGATATTTATCAAAAATCAATGAACTCAAAAAATCATTGAATCGAAATTTATTGCAGGAAAAATTCAAAAAGCGCTTATCGTCTTCCAATTTTGCAGTGAATTTTTAATTTTTTTAGGTATATTTTTTCAAATCACTGCAAGATGAACACAGGGTATTCTAATATTGTCTAGGTGAAAAGATATGAAAACAAGTCCAGTTTTAAAATTAGCAATGTTAGTTATATTTGTTTTCAAAATCACAAGGTTATAAATAGAAAATACTCAGACAGAAAATTTCACAGAAAGGAAAGCTTGAAAAGTTAGTGCACATCTGATAAACAAACTAAATGATTTGAAAAAACTCGAAAAACAAAGACTGAGTAACATGAAGTTAATTGCAATAAATCCAATTTGTAAAATATCAGAAAAAATAAATAGTAAAATAAAATTTCTATTTGAAATAATTTTATTTGAATAATTTTCATATATTTCATATGTACACGTATTATTATTTACTACATTTAATTTGTATTCCTATCAACATAATTATATATCCACTTATATTTATAATTGTACGTATAAAATATTCTGATTTGGAATTAACGATCAATATTTACAATTCTAATAAGATTTTTATATTTATATCTATAATTTAATTAGTAATAATATACATATATATGCATTATATTAAAATTATAAATTATTCATTCAAATAAATGAATATTAAACACTACATTGAATAGATGCAAATACGTTTGTCGAAAATCATTTCACGGGCTCATTGTAAAATGACACGCAATCGTAATTATTTTATTTGAGATGGATATAAATACATATGAGAAAAAGGTCTACTTTTTAAATGTTACATACATTTTTTTCCAAGTGAAGTAAAATATAATATTTTCTGCATATAGAAATAGCCATGCTTTAAGGATAACTCATATAACAATAGTAAAAAAAATATCATAAGACCTCATAATAATATCAATAAAAAAAATAAATAATACATAATATATTGGAATATTTTGATGTACATAATTAGTGGAATATTTTGTTGTATGGCATGCTTTACATCATTTTACCAATATATTCCTAATTCATTAGGTAATTTATAATTTGAGTCTTAAATTATTATTATTTATATAATTATTAAAATAACAAAATATTTTTTATGAGAACCTTTTTCATAGTTGCACGAATCTAAAGTCATTTAAATTTATTTTTCAACATTTTTAAAATAATATTAAAACCGCAATCCTGATATGTTTTATCTTATTTAGTTTTTAAGGTACCAATACTTAAAATAATTTGAAATGAGTAAATTTTATCATGTAATTTTCATATCGAATCATATTTATGATGAGTAGTATTTAGGTTAGTATTGAATTTATAAAACTTGATAATAATTTTTTTTCGCATAAAACCATTTAAAACCATTTTGTCTAATTCGAAATTAAAATAGTACTTAAAAAATGAATTTCTCAAATCATAAACATATATTGAAATATGTTTATTTACATAAATTTTCATTTTGATGTTTGTGCAGACTTAAGTTGCTAATGATTGATATGAGTTATATATAACTATATATTTTCAACATATTGTTATAAAATAGAGTATATCAAAATTACGATTAATAAATGTTTGATATTGCTATTAATAATGCTATCGTGACAAATAGATGTTAAAAAAGTATTCTATTTTATTGGCACATTATTATTACAGTGAATATAATGGAAATGGTAAGTAATGAATATCAATTAATTTATCCTATCTACATCAGTTAAAGAAAATTATAATTACTATCTATTTTTATTAATACATTTAATAAATATTTTTAGTATACAAATGTAGTTTTCATAGTAACTATATATATATTTAAATCACATGTCAAGTTCTTGATAGCAATATCTTAACGTATTATAAAAAATAATAAAATATCTATTTTACGTAATATGAAGAATAATTTATAAACATACTAGAGTACAGATACATGATTATAGAAACGATTTTCCAAATTTTTGTCATGAAACGGGAAATATGAGCCATTTATGATCATATATATACATACATATATATATATATATATATATATATATAAATATATGAGTTGTGCGCTGAATGGTTTTGTTATGATTCTATTAAATTTTCACATTTCGAATCAGCATATTTTGCATGGGACACAATAGTCATCAACAATTTGTTTTTTGCTTTTAGCTTTTGATTGAAAATAATAATTGTAAGCAAATTTTAAAATAATTAATTTACTAATAATATGAGTAAGTTAATTAAAAGCTTGAAAAATATTTTATACTACTTCGACGCTTCATTGATATCTAAAATTATAGTATTATTAAATTTTCATTTGCGTTCATTGACTGAAACCTTTACAGAAAAGATTACATACATACAATTTACATATATAATAATTTTTTTTAAATGAAATTATAATTTACAATTAAAATGCTATAACCTTTTGTAAATCAACTAATATCCGAATTGATGAATGGATGAATTGGAGTTTGGAAATTGGATTTGGACATTGGAATGGGATTTTTTGAGCAAACCGATAATGTTGTGTTAGTTATAATTCTACTTAATCAAAAAATACATGGCAAAAAAAATATAAAAGAAAAATAAGGAACACCTTTAGTATTTCTCCATCTAGATTCTAGATTCTCTCTTATTTTATTCTTATGTTGTAAATATTAAATAAATTAAAGAATTGAATTAGCACCATGTTATTAAATTAAATTAATCACTGCGATTAATAATACACACACACGTTGAGAACATTTAGAATCATAATTAATAATAGCTATCCAATATATATATATTACTATATATATATATATATATATATATATATATATATATATATATATAATATATATTAGATAGCCATTATTAATTATGATTCTAAATGTTCTTAACTAAGGGCCTCCTTATTTATTTCAAAATTTCAATAAGTACATTTTTTTAAAAGAAAAATGCAGACTTGTAGATTAAAGAAATAAAAAAATTATATATATATATATATATGTCTTTGAATATTTATAGATGTGTAAATAAAATTTAAATTTTTCAAATTATATCTCAAAAATAAAATTTATTTCATAATTGCGTTTTTTCCAGAAAAGTCGATAAATTTCATATCTAAATATTTTTATCCGATTATTTTATACAATTAATGAACAAAATTTAATATTTTAAAAATTTAATTAAATTGGAACCTTTATTGATTTTCAATGGAAAGTAATATGTGTTGCACAATGTTTAATTACTAAGAGGATGATATGGGAATTTAACTCAATTAAATCATTGTTTAACACAAACAACTATAATCAATACAGGCGGATCATTCGCAATTATCTTCAATTCTCCTGCTAATCTCATGAGAAGCTATTTACTATTCATGTAGATTGTTGTTTGATTAACCGCCTCAATTCGGGCCATTGGCAAATAACACACACATATGTATATATATATATATATATATATATATATATATATATATACATATACATATAAAAATTTACTAAATCTGAAATAAATTTTACAAATCAACTATTATTAATTTTATAGTTGTCACTAATTGGAATTATATTTGACGATACAAAACATACTGCTAAATTAAGTATTAGGTTGGCAACTAACTAAGTGCGATTGTCACTCTTTGATGGTTTTAATTGAATTTTTTGAATTGCTAACGCAGTTCAAATGAAAAATACCTTTTATTATTGGACAGCAGGCAATTTAGCTGCCAATCAGTAAAAAAGTTGAAAAACTATTTTAAGCGATTGTTTTTTCTATTTGCAAAGGTAAAAAGCCATTTAAAATTCACAAAAAGTGATAAGCTTTTTATGGTGACTAAGCCTTAAATAAAACGACAGGATCAAAATTGTGTAGTCTAGATTAGTTCTGCTGATTTTACACTTAAAGATGAAAAACTTGTTGTCCAATTGAAGTTGTCCATAAAGAAATTATCTACTTTAACTTTGCCCACCCAACCGAACAATCAATTCTGAGGTCTATATAGAACAATTAACAATATTGATCATCTGCCGAATTGCTATTCTACTATTGACCGAATTGATTATCTAACTTTAGTTTCCATTATAATGGTAATGCCTGATTTAATTTTCTGTCAATAAAAACGGAAAGTTTCATGAAAACGAGATATTGATGCTCTTTGAACAAAACATTATTGGTCCAGAAGAATAATGCATTTCAAATTAAAGTTATTTAGTTTCACGAAAAAAATGACTGTGATTTTCTAAAAAGATCAGCACTTACTTAGTTGTCAACCTGATATTAGTTACAGTCCATTCAAAAGTTATTAGTTACATAAAACTAATAACTAATAACTAAACTAATAACGAAATATACATAACAACAAGTAAAACAAACAAAAATGTATAAATTTTACAAGTAAATTAATAATTTTCTAAGTCCAAAAGAATTAATCTGTAATTTCGGATTGTGATTGAAAAGAATATTTATTGTAAATGAAATAAAATGCGAATTTCTAAGTGTCTGCATGCTCGAAGTACAGCGAATGTCTTTAAGGTTCATTGAAGTCTATTTCAATAATACTCGGAACGCATATAAAACAATTTAATTTTTTCAATATCCCAAAAGCCTAATCACTATTACTTCTATTTACCCGAACGATGCCACCATTACCGTTGGCGCTTGAAGCGCCAAATGGTTACTATGAATTTCTATAACGAAACGAACCTGAACGCAAACCATTTCCAGTTTTAATTTTATTTTGTTCCTTTAAGGAATTAATTCTTCGATGATCACTAGTATTATCTAACAAACGCTGTGTGCATTCGTTTTCATCAGAATCATTTGATTGACTGTTAATTTTTGGACTGTTTTCCACAGATTCTTTGATAAGAGATGTATTTTCAAGACTTCTACTAGAAGTCGCGTTAATGCATAAAGATTTGAGACCATTTTGAAAGCCAAAAGGCGATGTAGGAGATTTAGCAGAACCATTTCTCACTCGTAGTTCCGTTTGTGTAGAGCAGTCTGCCACTTGACGACGTCGAGTACTATCATGATTATTTCCTGGAACAGAAAATAATTAAGATATCAATGGCCATCTTTTAAAGCTGTATTAAATATTCAATCATTATATTATAAACCAATCGGTTTCTACTATTGAGCCTCAAACATTACTGGAGTTTTTCCCTATTGAAACTAATTAGATGTGCAATGTGAAATTTTATTTTACTAAAATTATAAATACGTTTTAATTTTGTAAAATCTTGAATATTTTTAAAAGTAATGAATATTTTAGACACTATTGAAAACTTTAAATTAAGGGGGCGTTCAATAATCACGTGAGGGAGTTTTTAAAATTTTTTGGACTTCCCTCCCCTTGGTGATACATATGGTGATATTCAAAATTACCCCACCTCCCCCAACTAAACATCACGTGTATTTTTAGTAAAACTGTACAATATTTTAATAGTTTTTGAAAATGTATATACGTGAAAAAATAAATACACGTGATATCTTACTATACCCCTCCCTCCCCCACGTGATATTTTATTATTTTTTGTCAAACACCCCCTCCCCTAAAAGGTATATAGCATGAAGCATCTTCTAAAACCAAAATTTTTAATATTGAACATAAATATTTAGTATTAATTTATACCTCGTACAAATTAATAGACGTTTTGTTTTTGTATATTAATACAATTTTCTTTAACTTCTATACTCGAATACTATTTATTATCATGCACATATAACAGTTAAAATTGTAAATCATTTAGGATGAATTCTATTATATAAATCTATCCTGTATATTTGTAATTAAAACAAAATTATCAAACTCTTTTCTATATTTTTACGTTTCAAGACCTGCATATCGTTTTGAAATATTTTAAACCAAATGAATATATGAGTATTTGCAGTATATATGTATGTTTTTTCAGACTTCTCACGAATTGAAAAAAAGTTCAGAAACGATTCAGATGGTTCAAAAAGCATTTGATCGAATTTTAATGCGCAGAGCCCAGGTTGTAGATAAACGCATTCCATGTCGGAGTTACGGAGTTAAATATACCAAATACGGCCAGCTAAAAATAAATATGTAACACATGCAATAAATTATAACCGTCTTACATATATTATTAAAATGAGTTAATTATATCGGAGTTCCTTCTCCTGCCTTGTTTTTAGTTCACTCCTTATGTGGCTAATTATGTTGTATCTGCTTCCAATTTTCCATCTTGTCGACCATCTGCGTATTTTTTACTTCAAAGTTATTATACATCCGATAAAGCTATGCAGTACTTATGCTCTTTTCTCAATATGAGTGCAATTCAGTTATCTTTTCTTTTGATAATCGTCTCCAGTACTTACACATCTGGTGCTGTGCTTTCTTACATCACATTTCGAATCTCTGCAAATAGTTTTTGCCTGATTTCTTTAAAGTGCTAATCTGATCTAAAGTTAGCATTTTATCTGCATTTTCCGTAATTTGAGAGTTAGTAGCGTCAATCGTCACTTTTAAAGTCTAATCGATTATCCACAAAGAAGTTTTTTTATACCATTAATATGCTATCAGATACATAAAGAAAATGCTCCTGAATGCTTAACAATTTGCCATTACACAGAATTAAGAGACAAGGGACTTATATTGATGAGAGGTGAATTTGATAAAAATGTTCCGGATGCCAAAGAAGCACAATGTCTTGCTAACCAATTACAGATGTATTATGGGCAAAACCATAAAAGTAAGCAAAAGCTTCTCAAAGTCTTTACTAAATCTCCAAAAACTTTCACACACAGATTTAATAAATAAATTGGAAAACTTGACTTTGACATAATCGACCCATGTAAATTTTGTATAAATAAAACTTGTGATGCATGTATGCACCCTCTTTACCATTTTATCAAGGTCATTACAATAAAAAGGGGTAGAGGATTTGCACAGTGATCAAATATCGTATTTTGGTGATAAATTATTTTAAATGCTTCAATTTCTTTGCAACAATTTAAAGACTATCGTAATCCAATTAAGTTGTAAATCTTTACCGTTTCCTGAGTTGTGAAGTTTTTCCTTCTGGTCGCAAGTGGCTGCGGTCAACGTAACAGTGGCCATCACTGAAGAATTGCCGGTCCCAGCCGTGCTCTTATTTAGAGCACTGTACCGGACCGGCATCATGCTCTGTCTCACGTTACGCTCTGGACGTATCAGGATTATGTACAACTGAAACCAGAGAAAAGAAAATTAGCAATTTGAGTTATGACCTGTAGCATGTTGCTCCAAGGCAAGTTTGACGAACTTCCCGAAACGCATACATAATCAATTTAGTCAATGTGAATTAATATTAAGCTATTTAGGTAAAATGTCCAACTGTTTATTTCAAAAATAACATTTTCATATTCACTAAAAATAATCAATACGATTTCCAATTGATGTTTTTCAAACATACTTATAATATGTGCAATTGTATACATTCAATTAATTCAATACATTTCATACTTTTCGTGTTCTAAAAATGTATTTTAATTAAGGAACGTCAACTGTAATCAGTAGCTACCTATAAAACGCAAAACCTATATAATTAGCGTGACCATATTTTCTCAAGTCCAAACCGGGACGATAATTTTTAAATATATTAATTCGGTACGCGGGGGGGGTCTATGCTAACAAGTTTGATATGATTTGAAAATAGCAAACATCATTTAATGAAGCAAGGAAAATTTGTTTTTTAAATGATTTTTCTTTTAAATATGAATTACCGACTAAGAACTTTGTTATTGCATTAAATTTTTTCTTATATTTTTGGATCTATATGTTTTTTCAGCTTTCAAACTATTATAAAATTTTGTTCGTATTTAAAAATAAATAACACTTATGCCAAGCAGTCAAAAAGTATATTTTCATAATTTTTTCATAAAATTCAAAATAAAAGTTCAAAATTAATAATGTGAGAGGCTATTTTAATTTTTTTTTTGTAATTTTGATTACGGGAATTTTTTCATTCATAAGGTATTGTTTCATATAGACATACAAGATATACATAACATTTTCAGAGAGTTGATGGGTAGTTGTAATTTTATTACTAAGTAAGAGCAAATATTGAATTTTGGCCTTTACTTTGCAAAAATTTGGAACAATCTGCGACAAAAGATCTAAATCCGGAACAAATATAGCTTTTAGAAAAATCTAGACACAAGGTCTAAATCTGGGACATCAATCGTCAAACCGGGACGTATGATCACTTTAATATAATGCACAAAAGTTATGGTCAAATCGCTTGAGGGGTGCAATTCCAAACCTATTGGTGAATTTTTATAATTGAACCGTTTGTTGTAGGTCTATAATATTTTAGTATGTTAGCATATCGTGAAACCTATCATCATACAAAGTTGCATCAAAATCGGCAAAATAAAAATGTTGTACTTCTTGCTAAAGTATGCCCTCAGAAAACGAAACAACCTACTTGTATAGTTATAAGGCCATTCCATTTGCATTATCATAGAATATACACTAACTGTAAGTAGATTCAGCTCTTTCATTTTTATTAAAAGAAAACATCAAATTATAGAGAAACGTATACAGAGGTTTATATAAGTTTAATAAATGAAGCACAGAATCAATTACTGTGCTTTATATGTTATGCATCAAAGTACATGCTATTGACATTGCGAGCTCGAGAGTAGACAAACTGTCTCTATATTTGCTTAGTCTTCTCAATGAGAATAGACAAAAAGTGTTTTTGTTAATAAGAAACACAATGAATTATTAAGGGCCACAGCTAGTGTAACCGCCTAAAAAACGGTGATTTTTTTTCTCCAACAGCGCGACAAAAAAACCCTTAACTGCTGCAGTGATTCCGGCCTTCTACGTGGATGAAATAAAAAAAAATTCTCGTTAAACTAGATAATATTGTTTGTAAAATGAACTACGATAAAAAAATCAAAAATTGACAAAATGGCGGGGTTTAAAAAAAAGTCGAATTTTACCCAAACATTTGGTCGTATTTCGACTGCCAAAATTCGATTTTTGATCCGATCAAAAAATCGATAGTTCATTTTACGGAGAACTATATATAGAATATGTAAAAAAAATTGATAGTGATCGGATCATTTGTTTTTGAGTAATCGCTGCCGCAAATTCGGAAAATGCTGTTTCGAGAAAAACGCGTTTGAAGCCGGATCGGTTAGGATTTGACTCCGCTTCAGAGAGGAGTTATATCCACTTAACAACTCCACAACTCCAACAAATTTGAAACATAATACTTGACACAAATGTGTTCTCTAGTGTGTTGTTAACATATCTAAAGATTTATTAAGACTTTAAAAATAGTTTACAAACAGTTCAAACATTTTTATTCATTTTATTATAATAATTACCATTTTATGCATTTCAATATGCATACAAATCTCAAATTGACAAAAAACTTGGAAATCAAAATCAATTTTGTAATTATTTTTGAAGAGAAAATACAGAATTCTTTGAATATGTTTATTCTTATATGAAAATAATGCAGTGAACCTTATGTATGAAATAAGAACAAATCTTTGTGTATAATATTTTTCACAAAATAATAATACCTCACATTCTATTATTATTTCCATTTCAAGAATTAATTATACATCAGGTAGTTTGATTAGCATACTATTACTTTTACACAATTATGAAATCTTAATTGTGCAAAAGTTATAATATAATACTGAATATTTTTTGGCTGGTTGTATGCTATTGAAAGAGCTCATTTACGAACAAACATTATCGTATACAGAATATAGAATACAATATAGCATTATTTTGAGACGTTATATATACCTGGAAAGTCCTAAAACTGGCTGTGAGACAAGAAAAAAAACACTTCCTTCGACCCAAATCTTTGCATTAGTAAAAAATCTCAAGTTAATATCTACACATGTTAACAGATTTAGTATCAGTTTAGGGAAGTCGGATATGACAAATCCTGTGAGACAACTCCACTCGAATTCACTCCGATGGTGGAGTTGTATCGGAGTGATAACTCCGGAGTGAGTTACCCATCTCTACTATATACTATATATATACTCTTTTGAATGGATGTAACTCAAAATCTATTTGAGATATCGATTTGAAATTTTAATATGTTATTTTTAAAGGTGTAATCTACCGAAATATGATAAAAACAAAAATCGATTTTTTTGAAATTTCACACTAGTTGTGCCCCTTAAAAAAAACGGAATTGTTGTCACTATTTTATAATATGATTTGAAGATGCGTCCCATTTCATGCATCGATGCAGAGCAATAAACCTATATGACAATGCCTATTTGAATTACGTCAAATTTAGTCAAATTAAGCAGTATTCAACTACAACAAATATTGATTGCAGTGCCGACTAAATTACTTAATATATGCGCACGCATTAGCTTGATGCTTTCGCAATCTGCCGATGCATGGCGAAATAGGCACTGTTTGCATTCTTGCAGGCAACAACGGCAATTCAACCCTGAATTAATACCTCGATGGCGCGTTGCCCATTGCGGCCAATAATGCGCGATGACGGCCAAATTATTCAGGGGTACCGTAGTGTCTGATTACATGCTTTGGCAGAGCGGACGAAACGCATGAATATGCATGGTATATCTTTTGACAGTTTGGTAATTAGATAACGAGCGTAGGTACACCAAATACCTGAGCTAATAAACGTCAACAAACCACACATTTCAGTGAGCAGGATGTATTTTGAATGAAAACTGGATTTAATAAACACAGTGTGAAACTTGATGTGCGTACTATACATAATAATAAAAACAAAAATAGTATGTAATATAATATCAAAACAAAATTTACATATTTGAAATTATTCGTCGTGTTACATTGCCTTCCACTTTATTACTTATTACATATGTAACGTGACAATAATAGATCGATAGATGTAGATAACTAGTGGGGTGGGTGGCATCGTGACTTAAGGCAAATTGCTGGTACTTTCCGTACCGTAACGAAATGTTCGAGGAATATTGAATGTTTTCAAATAGATTATTATAAATATTGTAACATTGTCTAATATTTATAAGAATTATATCAACTGAATTGCAGAGTTGAAATTATTTATTTAAAGTATATTAGGACTATAGTCAGAATTAAAAATATAATCTGAATTATTTTCGATATACAAAAAATTAAAAAAAAAAAAAAAAATTGAACAAATTTTTTTTTTCCAAAATCAATTATTTTGGTAAAACAAGCAGAAAGTTCTTTGAATCAATTTAATCGGACGCTTAGTTCTCTCAAAACCTGCCATTTTTTGTACATTTAGCTCTGTATCTCCGAAATGGCTGGGCCTGCCTTTGCGAAAAACTAATAACCCCTTCTTCCAATCATTACTAATTGAATGTTTTTTAGATCATTCAGATCGGAGGCTCCGTTCTCTCAAAAACTCGATTTCTATTTTCTGCACTCTTTGCTCCTTATCTCCGTAACTGCTGGACCTGCCTTTTCAAAAAACTAATCAGCACATCTTCTTATCAATAGGAATCTTTAAATAGTCAATAGGAATTTTTAAACATTTGTACAAAACATTTACCATTATCCTGTGATTACAATTATAATATTTACTATAATAGTTTTTGTATGACTGTCAGGCTGTCTGGTTAGCAAAAAGTAATGTTATTGAATATAAACACTCTCAATTTTATTTGCATTAGATTTCTTCTACAATTCTGATTTTAGTTTTAAGTTTAAAGCTATTTTTTATATAAATTTTATTTACATTAAATATTTTAACTTTATACTTTGTACCTGGTATGGTATGTAGATTTGTTTTTACAAAATAATTTAAATAAAAGTTAGGTCATAGGTTCGATTGTATGTGTCATTACATATTAAAAATAACTTTAATTTTGTTGTTTATTCTGATATGGTATTATGTACCTTTTTTTACAAAATAATTCAAAAAAAAAGTTTAAATTTTTTTCAATTCATTGTATTTTTCTGTAAATATTTTAGAACTGCTGAATGAATCTGAAGGTGGTACGTACATAAATCCCAAAATGTCGTATGAAATATATATATATATATATATATATATATGTATATATACATATATATATATATATATATATATATATGTGCGTATGTAGGTATGGTTGTGTTTGTGTAATTATATTTTTTTCATATTATTTGATTTGCTTATGAACGTTAAGTCATTCTATATTTTCTAAGTTAATCTGTGAAAAAAGTTTGGTAACATA